TTAAGAGATGGGGTCTTGCTCTGTTGCCCAAGCTGGAGTGCCGTGGCAGGATCATAGCTCGCTGCAGCCTTGAACTGGGCTCAGGTGATCCTCCCACCTCAGCCTCCAGAGTAGCTGGGACATGCTTCCACTAGCTGCAGGCAGGCTCCACTGTCCCCAGCTGGTTTATTTTCTAAGAATACCTGCACAGAAACAAAAGATCATATAGTTCAAAATGTACTTTCAGACAATGGGGGAGGCTATGGTTGTCAATCGTTTAATTGGCTCTTTTGAATACAAATTAAATATTAAGTAGTTCAGTCCTTTTAGTCTCTGTGTAAGTCAACAAACACATATACTTGGTAGAATTTATTAAACAAATGAACAAGGCATGCAAGTATTCCATTTGTTGCATAATAGAATTGTATCTAGAACCTTCATTGTAAAGCCTGGCAAAATGGTTTGCACTGTAATCCCAGCTGCTCGGAAGGCTGAGCACTTGAGGCCAGGAGTTGTAGACCAGCCTGGGCAACATAACGAGATGGTGTCTCTAAGAAAAGAAAAAGGAAAAATAAAAAAGAACCTTGATTATTAAACATACAAAATTCTGAAATATTACCTGAAAAAGGTGATGCTAGTTTTGCAAATAATCCTTAATGTAGATTTTTAATTGAGATACATAATTCACATACCATAAAATTCAGCTTTTTTTTTTTTTTTTTGAAACAGAGTTTCATCTTGTTGCCCAGGCTGGAGTACAATGACACAGTCTCAGCTCACTGCAACCTCTGCCTCCTGGGTTCTGGCGATTCTTCTGCCTCACCCTCCCAAGTAGCTGGGATTACAGGCATGTGCCACCGTGCCTGGCTTATTTTGTATTTTTAGTAGAGACAGGGTTTCTCCATGTTGGTCGGGCTGGTCCTAAACTTCTGACCTCAGATGATCCGCCCCCCCCCGGCCTCCCAAAGTGCTGGGATTACAGGCGTGAGCCACTGAACCTGTCCAAATTCGGCCTTTTAAAAGTGTATAGTTCAGTGGGTTTTTGTTCACAAGGTTTTGCAGCTATCACTAATATCTAATTCCAGAACTTTTTTTTTTTTTTTTTT